TCTTGAACTCCTGACCTCAAGTGATCCACCTGCCTCTGCCTCCCAAAGTGCTAGGAGTACAGGGGTGAACCACCTCGCCTGGCCAGATGAGATCAATTAAATGAAAACAATAGCAAAGTAAACGTAGAGTTCTCAGTTTTTTCTTTTCTCCTCTTTATCCCATAAAAAAATGAAAATAACTGAGTTCTCCAAACAATGAAGAAAGCCCTGCTTTTTTTTTTTTAAATAAAGGATGATTTTGTAAATCATGGCAAAGCCGCTTAATGGAATATAAGCAGTCATTTAAAATGATGGTTAGGTAGAAACACAGAAAATGATTATGATATGGTGTTGAAAGAAAGAAACCAAGGACAAAACAGCAATCCAGCCATGTGTACAGCAAATCCTTGGGGAAAGCACTGGGAGGGAATACGCCAAAATATTCATAGTAGTTGGAGGTGTGTAATGATAGGCTTGAAGGTGACTTTCTTATTTTCTAAATGTTCTGAAAGTATATTACACTTATAATAAAAAAAAACTTTATTTAATAAAAAAAATTCCCCAAACCACAGCAGGAACAATTAGGTATGACAAGAGTGGGAGTGTTTCTCTTTGTAGGGCTGAGATACACAAGGGAAGCTGGAGAGGGCAGAGCGCCACCAGAAGGCTGCAGGTGTGGAGTGGGGACAAGGAGGGGTCGGCTGTCTGAAGCAGTCAGGCTCAGTCCCAGGGTGGCTGGGCCTGGCGTCGGTCACGGCCACCAAGAGCAGACAGGTGGGGCAAGGGCTCCTCTGGGCCACACCTCTGGATCTCCAGGTCAAGGTAGACGGGAGAGATGGGGCGGCCTGGAGCTTGCTGGGTGGAGTAGGGCTCCGGAGTCTCTGCACAGGGAGGTCACCTCGTGGCTGTGCCCCAGGACTCTGCCTTGCCTGCTGTTACACTCAGGAGCATCTTTGGGGAATAGCCCTCCACCCCACCCAAAGGTTCCTCAGTGGGAGGCAAGGACCCAGGCCCCGGAGGAAGGAGGAAGAGCAGGCAGTGGTGTCCTGTCCCTCAGGCCCCAGCTCCGGGCTGCCCTACTCCATTTGCCTCTACTCTAGGGCAGATTTCCATGTCCCCCTCCCTCCCTGGACCATGTGGCCTGCAGGGGCAGGGCCAACCACACTGGCAGCAGTCACAAAACAACAGACTTTAATGGAAATCATGAAGGAGGGAAGCGGGCGGACCTGGAAGGGGCTGAGTGACATCGCCCATGCCGCTCCCTCAGCCAAGCCTGAGCAGCTCCTGATGCCACCCTCTCCTCACCTCCGCAGGAGGGCGGAAGGTCAGGGACCCCTTGTTCAGCATGCCTGCAGTGAGCCCAGTGGGGATGCGGTGGTAGAAGCGGAGCTGGGGCAGTAGAGCAGGCTCAGCAGGAGTGAGCAGCAGCAGGTGTTGCTTAAGCCAGAATGATTCCCGAGGTCCCCCAAGGAAAGGCTGTTTGTCTCCTGGGTCGGGGAGGAATGGGGGTTGGAGGAAGTCAATCGACCCCAATGCAGGCCTGGTACCATGGAGAGGGGCACAGGGTGGGGGAGGTGCCAGCCTGAGAAGGACAGGTGTGAGCTAGGTGGCACTGTGGTTGTTGGCTTAAGGGGGAGGGGAACAGGGTGCCCTGCTTGTGCCCGGAGTGGTGCTTGTGGGGTTGACCAGAAATCCTCAAGTCCCCTAGCGTCATTCCCTGCTAAAGTTGTACCTGGGCTGAGCACCTGGTCTACCTGTCCCCACCCCGACCCCAAACACCCAGCATCCCTCTATTTGGCCTCCTGCAATGTCCCCACGGCCACCTTCACTGCTTGGAACACAGCCCAGTCCATCTAGGAAAAAGAGAGAGGACAAAGCATTTTCAGCCACATTCCTGGACCCCCCACTGTCCCCCACCCTGCTTAAAAGGAATACTCTGGCCAGGTGCAGTGGCTCACACCTGTAATCCCAGCACTTTGGGAGGCGGAAGTGGGTAGATCATTCGAGGTCAGGAGTTCGAGACCAGTCTGGCCAACATGGTGAAACCCCACCTCTACTAAAGATCAAAAAAAAAAAAAAAAAAATTAGCCAGATGTGGTGGTGGGCGCCTGTAATCCCAGCTACTTAGGAGACTGAGGCCAGAGAATCGCTTGAACCCAGGAGGCGGAGGTTGCAGAGAGCTCCACTCCAGCCTGGGCGACAGAGCAAGACTCCATCTCAAAAAACAAAACGAAACAAAATAAAAAGAATACCCTGCCCCTGCACAGGGTAACTGCATGCTTGGCACAGGGTGGTATCTGCTATGTCCACCGAAGCTGTGGCACAGGGAGGTGGGAGGCTTGGGCAGCACACCCAGCCTGCTGGCCCACATCCCACTCACCTGGGCACAAAGCAGGCGGCAGTCAGGGTGAAGGCTGGATCCCTGGTGGCAGAGCTGAGCAGAGAGGGCAGAGGTCTCAGGGGAGAGGAAGTGCTGAGTGACGCTGACTGTGCTCACCAGGCCCTGCACCTGTGTCAGGGGAACATGGACAGTGAGGCTCAAGATCACACATCCTCTCCCTGTCCCCCTGGTCCCTGAGGTTCGCTTCCTCTAATGACACCCACTCCCCACCCCTAGCTCTCAGAGAGCAGATTCCTGGATGCACCACTGGACACTTCAAAGGCTGGGCCAAAACCGAGTGTCAGGACTGCCAGAGAGACCCCGAAGTCTCCCCGCAAGCCCCCTGACATCAGCATGCCCAGGAAAACAGTAGTGGACTCTGGCGCCAGTCCCAGTTGGGCTCAGTGTCTTCAAGGCCTCTTGGCTCCCCTGTTTTCTGTTCCCCACAGCAGTGTGCGGCTCCCTGCCCTGCCCGGCTCTTGGGTATTGAGGTGATGTTGGATGCCTGCAGCCTTGATCGGATCGCTCCTGCCAGCCTGATCTCCCCGCAGAGCCCCTGCCCGCCGGGAAGCACCTGGTGGGGAGCCCCTGCAGGCACCAGCACGGCCTCTCCGGGGGCCTGGAGCAGGGTCCAGCAGCTCACGCCCCACTCCTCCCGCAGGCGCCGCCGCAGCCCTGCGTCCAGGTAGCAGCTGCCTGGGGCGCCAGGCTCCAGGGCGCCTGCCCCGGCCGGGCACACCTCAAAGAAGAGAAGGGGGAATGAGCAAGATGGGGAGGGAAGGGCAGGGCTGCAGGAGGATGGGACATGGACTTTCCAGAGGCCAGAGGTGGAGAAAAGAGCTGAAGGGTCAAGTCTTGAAGGGCCGGCAGGGAGGGTAGGGTTGGGTTTGTTTGGGGCTGGGGTAGCTCAGGTTGGCAGAACACACATTTGGCTGGAAGGAGCTTAGAAGGAAGGGGTTCAAGGCCCTACAGGGGGGCAGACTGAATCCCTGCTTTTCTGGGGCTGGAGGCCTTTAACAGCCTCTGTGACCTCAGCCCCTCTGCTCCCTCTCTCAATGGTGCCCCTTTCTGCAAAGCCAAGGGAGACGTCCTGCATAATCCCAGTTCATAAACTGTCTACCAGGACTTCTTAGTCTGGAATGGCCAGAATTGTGTGCTGAGTGGTGGGTGAGCAGGGAGCTGTATGTCCCTGGGGAGACAACTCAAAGCGTTCATCAGGGTCTCCCTAAGTTTCTGGACGCGGAAAAGGGAAGGACCACTGCGAGGCTGTGAGTGCCTGTGGGTGAACAGGCTTTCGGGCCAGGCCCAGGTCTCTGCAGCAGCCACAGCTACGGGGACCTCACAAGCCCAACCAGAGCAGGGAGCTCTCTGGGCAGGCAGGGACTCGCGGAGGCCAGAGGTGCCCAGGGAGCATGTGCAAAGGGGGCGCCGGCATCATGCTCCAACCCGCCACCAGCCCAATCCACCCCCTTCGGCAAGGACCTCAGCCATTGCCCCTGGGCTTAGGGCTGCAAGATGGGGCCATCAGGGAAGGGAAGGCTAGTGAAGCCGATGGGACCCTAGAGGAGTCCCAGTTGGGTGCCAAGATTCCTTTGCCCTTGGAGATTCAGGTCCATCCTGGAGCTGAGCAGTGTTTCCCAGGCCACCCAGGGAGACTGTGCCCCTCAGCCCTGCCCCGTGAGTCACTGGGTTGGGCCGTGGGGACTGCCCACGGCCAGCCACACCCAGCCCGGAAGAGGCCATCTGTGTGTGGAGGTGTGCTCCCCTCTGCATGTCCCAGCATCTGTGTGTGCATCTACACGTGTGTATGCCTGTGGGCAGGAGGGGTGCACACCATGCTGGCCTCTGCAAGTCTCTGTGTGTGTGCTTTGGCGAGGGGTGACACTAGGTGGAAGTCTTTTCCCCAGGATAATGAGGGCCCAGCTGGATTTGGGAACCACGGGGCTGCCCTCGCCTTACCCCTGGACTCTCCTCCCCTGCGCCTCAAGCTTCTTGCCTCCAGCCCACCCCATCACTTTCCCCTTCCCTGGCTCCTTACCTGACCCATCTCTCTTTCTACTTCCCTCAGCCCCCTTCCTTGCTAGCCCCTCCAGGAGCATCTCCTCCAGGCAGTCTCCCCTAACAAGATGCAAATACCAAAAGCGGGGCAGCAGGACGGAGTCTCAGAAGGGAGGGAAGGCTGCCTGCCTCCAGGAGTAGCACAGAGTAGTGACCTGGGGCCATGACAGACAGAAGCTCAGATCCCAGCCCTGCCACTAAGCCTCGGTGTTCTCATTTGCCAATGGGGCAGGGGACTGAGACAGGTAACAGATATTACGCCTAAGGCCCTGGTACCACGTCCAGCCTCAGGCAGCTGGTGCTGTCATTTCATCATCAGGTCCAGGCTGTCCTGCCGCAACCCCCTGCCGCTTCTCTGAGCCCCATAGCAGAACTCCGGGTCCCCTCTGCCTTCTCTGCACCTGTCTGTGCGAGTTGGTCTGTGCAGCTCACCTGAGGGCGCGGGGCGGGGAGCGAGCACACTAGGGTGGGACTGGACGAGCTTCTAGGGCTGAGCAGGGGGAAGGGTAGGGCTCCCGGCTGCCTCCTCACCATCTGGAGAAAGCGGCGGATGCGCTGGGCGTCCTGTGCCCGGAACACGTGCCACACAGTGCTGACCTGGCTGCCCGGAGACCAGAGCCCCTCCCCTTCCAGGCCTGAAAGGAAGTCTGAGGAGGAAAGAGAACTCAGGCAGGCCCTGGGCTGGTGGCAACAGACACTCGCCTCTGTATCTTGTCCCTGCTCCTCCTGCCTCTGGCCGAGGACCTACCTTTCTGTACCCGGTGCCAGGCAGGCAGTGGTGCCTCGGCGTGCACCAGGATGCTGACCAGGTCAGCCACCTCCACACAGAGGTTCTTGGTCCCCAGGTGTCCCCGGTGCGGGCTCACACCTGCAATGGCAATAGAGAAAGAACAGTTAGAAATGGAATCAGAGAAGCACTTCAAGCCCCAGGGCCTTGGCACAGATGCTCGTGTGCCCTGAGATGACAGGCACAAGAGTAGAGACTGAGCAGGAGTGGAGGGACACTCACCATAGGCTGCCCAGAGTTGGGGCTCCAGTGGACGCAGGGCAAGGCCAGGTGGGAGGTAGGAAGCCAGGTTGAGTTTTCCACGGTGGGCGCAGTACTCTGGGAGTGGCAGGCTGGCAGCTAGGTTCTCCACCCTATGGGGCGAGGGGGTCATGCCCAGCAGACCCAACCCGCATACCAGAGACCCCATCAAGGCCCTCCCACTGCCAGGGTAACTCCCAGAGGGCAAACATGAGAGTACCGGGGGCCACAGGGTGGGGGTGGGGGGCAGAGGAGGAGGGGAGGGCTGAACCAGGCGGGGCCTGCAGTGGTTGGGGAGGTAGGGCTGGCCCTTGGTGACATACACACCTGCTGGCGTCCTCATCCCCCAGAGCTCGATGCAGCAGGAGGACAGAGCCCTCATCTGACTTTGGGCGAACTACAGGAGGAGATAGAACGGCCATTGGCCTCCTCAGCTCCAAAGCCCCTGCCCCAGCAGCAGCAACCCCTGCTTCCAGCCCCTCAGGGTTACTCTGGGACTCCTCTGCCACCCGGTCCCTAGGGCTTGGGCTCCCAGCTCCCTCTCCCCTGTGTCGGGGACACTTACGCTCAGGCCAGGAGAAGCCCTCCCAGAATGCTGTGCTGCCCAGGCTGGTGGGCTGGGGAGGCCCAAGGGGACTCAGCGCCTGCACCTGGCCTCCAAGTGCCCCAAGAGCTTCTGTCCCCCACAGGTTGCCCTGCAATGTCCTTTGGATCCCTGACACCAACACAGGCTGTGGTGGGAAAGGAAGGAGGCCATGAGGAGAATGGCCAGGGTGCCCGCCGTGGCCAGGCAAGAGTGTGTTGTAAGGGCAGTGAACAGCTCAGAGACAGCCCTCTTGCTCCCTCTGAGCCGTTAGGTCTGTCTGGGCCTAGGGACCAAGGCCCCAAGGGGCAGGTGGGGTGGCCAGGGCTGGGAGGGGAGGGGCAGAGCACCTCACCTGGCCCTGCCTCCAGTGCTCCTGGAAGAGGCGGAAGCCACGCCGAGGCCGAGGCCGGGGCTCCTGCAGCCACAGCAAAGCCCCCGGGGGAGGCAGTCGGGGCCGCACTGGAGAGAGAGGCAGGCCCAGGCCCTTGCGCATGTCTCTTATACACATCTAGATGTGTATAAGAGACAGGCCCTGCGTCCAGGTAGCAGCTGCCTGGGGCGCCAGGCTCCAGGGCGCCTGCCCCGGCCGGGCACACCTCAAAGAAGAGAAGGGGGAATGAGCAAGATGGGGAGGGA